AATCCTTTAACTTTTTATTAATAATACACTTTTTCTATATTTTTTACCTTCTGGTCTATTATTATACTTTTTATTGATATGGTATTTTTTATAATACCAAGTGACGGGACAAACATGTCGTGCGCCTGTTGGTAAGCGACACGCCTACCGATAACAGTTGCAGTGCCACTCAGAGCTTTAAGTCGCAAAGATCTGAGGGGCCCTGCCACTGCGCCCGTCACCCTGAGACATAACTTAACAAGTCCCATGTGCCTGTACTTCCCTGGACGATTTCTTCCACAAGGAGCTCCACTGCTACAAGAATCGGTATGTTGCTGAACTAACTGCACGTAATTTGGTGAAAGGTAAAGCCAGTTTATTTCTATTTCTCAAACTATGTGTGTCAAGGTCTTAAGTTTGCCGGTATAAATAGAGCAATATGGTCTAGAATATAATCATGAATATTATTTAATATTTCACGATAATTTACTCAAATACTTAAATAATAAAAATTGCCACCTGTATTAAACATAAAGTAAACTGACCTGAACATTAACCTTTAACCTTTATTAATTACTCAGAGTGTACGTAGTTCTATTCCAGACCAGAACCTTCGATCCCTATTAAACATTGTCTCAAGTTCAAATAGCTACATAAAGTTAATTTACCTGCCTCAGGGCGCTCTCGTTATGTCGTGACGACGGATGTCGTAAAGTTGAAAGTGTTATGGCTTGTATATTTAAATGAAGTTCGTTCACGACTGTTTTGACGTTACGACAACAGAATGTCGTGACAATGGGAAGAGCTAGAACGACAGTCGTCGGATGATAAATAAAACGTCACGATAAAAATGTGGCAACAGATAATCGCAGCTTCAAATGATTCTGTCGTGAACCGATAAATTGTCGTCACGATCTAGTGGGAACAGCTAGACATGACAGTCATTCAACGATAAAATTAACGTCCACAACATAGTCACGACAGATAGTCGTGATATGGGAATAGGCTAGACGCGACAGTCGTCCAACGATAAATAAAACTTTACGACATAATGGGAACGCGGCCTAACTAGATCGTTAATCTAAATTTAATTAACACCGTTTTGTAAAGTATACAAGCACCAAAGAGAGATGAGAGACGTCTGATCATTTTCTGACGTTTGTTAAAACCGTCTTAAGTATTTAACGAATTTTGTGAAAGGAATATTTGTAATTCAACATTTAATCAAATTTCAGGTGTTTTCTTTGTATACCAATGAAGTACGGAGTTTAACAACCAAAAAAAAAACTTAAATTTTTATTGAATTGAATCCAATTATTTTTGTGTGAAATTACTCCACAACTTTGTAATAATTATTTATATATTTTTTTTAAATCTCAAAGGTTTCTCATAGATAGCGCTATGACTAAAAAGTCGTTGAAAAACCAAGTATAAAGATTCGTAGCTTTGTTCCGTGGCTTAGTTGGTATAGCGTCTGGCACGTTATGCTAGAATACGTCGGTTCGAATCCGGCCGGATCGAAGGAATTTGTTCTACGTATTCGATCTTTGTTTTAATATTTAAAACAAAAATAATTTCGACTGCAGGAACGTACAGTAACGAAACTACAAAATGCATACTTTACAGTAGACCTGTTTGAAGTTATATTTTGACTTAGAATAATAAATTTTAATAGTGTCGTGAAAGTGACACCCAATTATGATAGCTAATTTTATGTGTTTTTCTTAGGTCTTAGCATGATTTAAAAATTTTATATTTTTCTAGATATCTCACATTCAATAGTTTACGTTGTTAGAATTGGCTAGAAATTGATCGAAAGTGGCAGATTCGTTAGTGTTCAGGGCTTGTAAAATTTGAACAAATATTGAATCTACCAGTTTCGGTACTTTTCATTGACAGCTTTTATAGAATCAATAAAAGTTTAACACTTTCGATTATTTACACCAAGTAATTGACGATCTGAAAGAGAAGAGGATACCAAAACCAAACACTGATTTTATAATTTACTAACGTATATTTATCAATTATGAATTAAATCACTTTTTGTATGGAATTCATTACGAGTAACATAGACAACTTTTAACTATAATATCTTAAATGAACTTGTGTAGCATGAGTTCTTTGGGTCTTTTTATGTAAATATGTTTTTTTTTTCCTTTGTAACATAACATCGAAAAAATAAGTAACATGACAAGTTTCAGTCTTTTTATTTTTTTGTATATAGTGACGGGATGAACCAGTTGTGCACCCGATGGTAAGCTACCATAACAGCCTATCCTATCGATAATAGCTGCAGTGCCACTCAGAGCTTTAAATCGCAAAGATCGGAGGGCGACTGCTACTGCACCTGTCACTCTTAGACATAATTTGACAAGTACCATGTGCCTGTAATTTCACCAGAACCCTTACCCTTCAAAACCGGAACGCAATAATGCTCACAGACTACTTGGCGGCACAAATAGTAAAGGTAACTCTTTCACAAGGTGCTCTACTGCTGCTAATTGTTACTTACTTGTTAGTGAAAGAATGAAGTGTTTATCGAGTTCTTAGGTTGTCGCGAATGTTACACTTAGGAAATGAAACTATTTTTTTCGGATCTAAATCGCCCGTATTTGTTTTTTCAAGCAAACCAACGTTTCGGGCCCTTTACAGGTCCCACAGTTACGACTGACGCCAGGTTCCGGACCTGTAAAGGGCCCGAAACGTTGATTTGATTAATAGATCCGAAAAAAAAAATAGTTTAATTTCGTAATAAGATATTTATTACATAAAATTACTTTGTCAAGAATCTTTTACATTAGGAAAACTATATAAATATCACAAAAACCCGTGTATGAACACGCAAACTTTGTGTAATGTCGATATTATATTTATTACTGGCATACATGTAAAGGTTGTATATCAGTGCCCAGTGAGGCAAAATCGCAATACAGTGCAGTTGTCGGATCAAAATTCAATGTCTACCGCATCATAAGTTATATTTTATTCAACAAAATCTAATAAACAGCTACTGGTTGGTAGTTTGCGTCGTTTGCTCCAAGTTTGCCAATATTATGTGGTCCTCTAACCCCAGTATCGCAAATAGTAAAGTATATCAGTGACAACCTGCTTTTAAAATAAAAGAGAGACACTTCACCGGAAAGATAGCTGAGAAATTTTTGAAAATCGTGTGATGCGTATTCTATTTTTGATGCAGTTTTAATTGCCATAATGTAAATCTTTCATAACTTGTGCTTTAGATTTTCGTGCGGTTCCCTTGTTTGAAATGTGCTTGTCATAAGTCAACACCTGCTTTTCAGTAGGGCTCCATCATCATCATCAACATTTTTATACGACTCTGGGTATGTGTTTCCTCTCAAGCAAAGATTTAGACCATAGTCATATTTCCTCTCAGGCAAAGGTTCAGACCATAGACCAATGCGGTTGGGGACTTCCCACGTTTTTCGGTTTTAATGGCACTACTCCTTTAAACCTATTTGCTAATATATTACAGTCAATTTAAATCGTCTTCTAATTTTACGAGCTCGTCGAGATCCTCTACATCTTCTACTTGGGTCTGGTGGTTACACAAACGTCGAAAATTTTAGGCAAACCGGTGAAAATCGAGTTACCTAGACTCCTCGCCACTGGGTGATGTGCATATTAACTAAAATAACGGGTAACTCAAGTATTTAAGTCTATTTAAAAGAGTGATATATACTTTTGAGGAGTTTCTTTCATCTGTCAGCCATTTCCAATATCTCTAGGTCACTGTAACATTATATTTCTTTGGAATTGCACCTATCTGTTAAATTTTAAATAGAGGCCATAGTCTGCCACCCTGGCCCAAGTTGGGGAACCCGCATTGGGTCAGGTAGCGGACTATGGCCTACACCCTCGTCTGAAAGGAGACTCGTGCCCAGGAGTGGGACGTATAAGTGGGTTGATGATGATGATGCCAATCTTTATTGAAATCCGTTTACGGATAGTGGATGAAATTCAATAAACCTGAATCATTTTTCCTTAATTTGCCACCTTTAGAGGTGGAATATTTTATTAAAATTTGAATTGAGGCACTACTCAGGTACCTTTCTAACAAAAAAGAATTATCGAAGTCGGTTCGCAAACTTCGGACTAATCGCGTAACATGCACACTAAACCAGTTTGAAAGGGCAGTAGAGCTCCTTGTGAAAGAGTTCGTCCAGGGAAGTACTGCCACCTTACCTATTTCTGCCGCCAAACAGTAACGTGAGCACTACTGCGTTCCGGCTTAGAAGGGTAAGGGTGGCTGGTGAAATTACAGGCACATGGAACTTGGCAACTTGTCTCGGGGTGAGGGACGCACGCAGCGCAGTAACCCTCACTCAGATCTTTGCGATTTAAAGCTCTCTCTGCGACGGCTTCCGACGTTCGTATCGCACACCACCAGGTACACAGCTTGTTCGTCCCGTCACTTGAATGATATAAACAAAAATTAAAATTGAATTAGAAGTTGAGAATTGAGAACATTTTTTTGAAGTCGGTGAAAAATAAGGAATAATATTGCTGGTAAACAAAAACCTGTTCTACTTTGGCAGATAATAGAGCTAATCAGTGCTCGACTAGTTATGGCGAATTTGTTCGGTCGTAATTATTTACTGTACTTATCTTTATGTGTGGACGGTGTTCTGCACAAGCGACTATACCCAAAATTTATGAAATGATATGTGAAAGTAATCTTGTTTCTTGGAACATAAATAAAGAATGTTAATCTTTTACAAATATTATTATTAATAGTCGGAATAATGATAAACACAAAACATTAGCCCTCTTTACACAGTCGCTCAGGATCAGGAGTATACCGGATGGCGCACGGAGATGCCAGCACGCGCAATCGTACGCGGTTACCTGTTTGAAATTTTTTAAGCTAATGTTCTTTCGCGCTCGATTGCTGTATGTTAAATGTAAACCGGCCATTTGCAACCAAACCAAATTAATTTCTTGAGCATATTTAGCAAAATATGAATCAATCCATGGGAATGTGTAATTCCTTTAGCACCTAGGGGTATCGTGCTATATGAAACCTGTGAAAACCGTCATGACCTGAATCCCCACAGTTAATATGGAAGCTAATTTTTTGTCAGTTATCTAAGGTACAATCTAGATACGAGCCAAAACAAACAGGTAGTGTGTCTCCCGGAGAATTCTCCGCATTCTCGAAAACTGCCGCAATTTCCGTCGGTGACGTCTTGGGACCCCGCGAGAAGTGACTCGCCGGGAAACGCTGTTCGGCGTCAAGCGTCTAACAGATATTGAGATATAAGCCTTTACAATATTTCATAATGACCAAATATATTTCATTTCTTCCATAAGTCACGAATCCATTTTTTCCATTGACTTACAATTATATGGACGTCGGGTCCGCGCTAAAAAGTGTCCGAACTTGTAGGGCGTTAAAATCGTATACAGAGCGTCATTCACGCTTTAGTCTTCGTTTGCTCGACTGACAGCGAAGCAAGCAAAATTAGACAGTACTGCGATGACTTTACAATTTAAACCTAACGTTTTAGCTTTTTCATATTCCTTTACATGTCACTACGTTTAAATAGGTTGTCTTGGGACATTTTTTTAGTGGTTTTTGTATTAGACCCGTCGTCCATTTATTTGTAAGACAATGATTTTTTCCCTTTTTATCAGTTCTTCCTTTTCCCTTCTGCTTCAAAAATAATCTAAGTAAGAAAACAATGTCCTAGTCCACCATCTTTATCGTATAAAAGTTCTAGACTAATAAATAATCGCCTTCGCGAAAATTCTTGAGAGTTCTCGCAAATTCGCGCGTCTTCTCGCGTAACGAGGCAAAATTCACGCTTCCATCCCATTTTGTTCCCCAGCAATTTAAATTCAGTAAGCCTAAGTCAGTAACGAATAATATTCTTGTGATATCCAGTTTTGTATTTTTATTTAATTTAAAGCGTACATTTGTTTTTTTTGTATAATATCAAGTGACAGGACGAACAAGTCGTGCGCCTGATGTTAACTAACACGCCTGTCCATAACAGTTGCAGTGCATAGTTGTAAACCGAAAACTTCTCTGGGGAACTGCCACTGCGTCTGTTACCCTGAGACATAAGTTGACAAATCCCATTTGCCTGTAATTTCACCAGCACCCTTACCCTTCAAAACCGGAACTCAGTAATAGGTAAGTTGACAGTACTTCCCTGGACGAACTCTTTTACAAGGAGCTCTATTGCTACTAATAACTGCCTCCGTGGCCGAACGGTTACCATGCCGGACTGCCACGCAGAGGTCCCAGGTTCGATTCCCGGGCCGGACGAAATATTTGTATGACCTACATTTATTTCTCTCGTGAGTTTGGGTGTAATTTGTGGTTGTCTATGTGTGTGTCCATGGCACCCGCGACACAGGGTTTCCCTAGTGCGGGGCTATGTTGAGTGTGTGCGTTATTATATTATTATTATAATATTGAAAAAAAAATATTGTAACCATGTAATAGAGTATTTTTTTTAAATTACTCCACTAGTTTGTTATTCATACAAATGTCGAACGCAAAAAAAAATTCCTTCCATCTGACATTATACGAACCCGCGTCTATATGTCAATGTATGGCCATTGCTCTGCCAACTGAGCTATAAAGCGAGTTAACAGACCATACGAATTTCTCTACGCGGATGTTACAGATCTCTCTAATTGTAACCTTTATTTTTAAATATTTTTTATTTAGGCAGTATCAATTTGCTGTCTGAGTGATGACTAAAGAAAAGAAGACAAAAAATAAAATCTATATTTTGGAATTGTCATTCTGCTAGTAAACATTCACATATACGCAGAACGCCATCCAAATTATCTTTGCTTGTATTTTATTTTTAGTTAACATACATAGAGTTATTTATTTTTGTGAAATTCGTGACTACACGAGCAGACGGGTTACCTGGTGATAAATTGCTATCATCGTCTATGATAATTCGTAAGAGATAAGGCGATACCAGCGTTTGGTAGATACAACACAAAACGAAAGCTAGGAATTTGGGCGGTCCAAAGTTCTTATATTCAAATCGCATCCCTCTTGCAAGCATGGCACAAGTGGAGTCAGTTAGAAAAATATAACCCACAGTCTCTCCAATTCTTGTAAGTCTATCTACAATATTAGTCGAAAGAGCTACAAGAATTGGAGAGGATGTGGGTTATATTTTTCTATATTGAAGCAATAAACGTTTGTGACGTAACTCCACTTATGCCATTCTTCCAAGAGGGGTGCGAAATTATAAAATCCAAAACAAGGAAAGATACTGACATATAAGGAGGCTGTCCGGTGGAACCTTTGCTTATCCAAATAAATGGCGGAAATTTATTTAAAAAAATTTACGAATATACTTACAATTTTGATTTCGCTATAACTTCGTTATGTCAGAGGTACAAATTGTCTAAGAATAAATACTAAATAGTACAATTTTGGTACCAAATATGTCAGGATTCGTTAAGGTGCACATGGCACTCTGAAATCTCAACATATTTTGTCTTTTAAATTTTTATTGAATTGATATTCAATTATTTTTTGTGAAATTACTTCACTAGTTTGTTATAATTATTAATACCTACAAAGATCGACACTCAGTTAATTATTGTTACGTCTACGCTACTTTCTACAGGGTTAGCTCATTATAACAACGTTTGTTTGCTTCACGTACGCGATACGTCCGCTCACACCTCTGTCTAATGTCGTAATGGAGGGAACGACTGTCTATGGTACATTTTGTCTATACACCACAATTATGAAAGTTTTTTCATTGTCGTGGTATGCATGCAAGAAACAAAGGACGATAACTATAATAATAGGGGTTAAAGTATGAAATTGCCGATTTGTACTGAAAATCTAAATTGTTTATTTTTTAAATTTTTAACAAATTTATTTAATCAAAATAGTTGCCATTATTATCTATACATTGCTGCCATCTAATGGGAAGGTTATTAATGCCTTTGCGATAGAACTCCGACGATCTAGACTGCACAAACTGTGTGAAAGCATTTTGTACTGCCTCCTGGGAAGAAAACTTCTTGTCACGTAGATAATTAACTAGATTATTAAAGAGTTAACTGCCTCCGTGGCCGAACGGTTACCATGCCGGACTGCCACGCAGAGGTCCCAGGTTCGATTCCCGGGCCGGGAGAAATGTTTGTATGGCTTACATTTATTTCTCTCGTGAGTTTGGGTGTAATTTGTGGTTGTCTATGTGTGTGTCCATGGCACTCGCGACACAGGGTTTCCCTAGTGCGGGGCTATGTCGAATGTGTGCGTTATTTATAAAAAAAAAAAAAAAATAATATTTATAATTGTCCAAATCACGAAAAAAATGGTAGTCCGTTGGAGCAAGGTCTGGTGAATACGGAGGATGACGAATGGTTTCTAACTGCAGTTCCTGAAGGGTCAAAATGGTTTCTCGTGCTGTGTGAGGTCTCGCGTTGTCGTGGAGCAATAATGGTGAAGATCGATTCATGAGTCGGGGCTGTTTTACTGCTAGTTTTGTCAACATGGTTCGGAGTTCGGCACAATAGACATCTGCCGTTATTGCTTGACCAGATCGGAGAAAACTATAGTGAATAACACCATGCTGAGACGACCAAACAGTTATCATTACCTTTTTATTGGTAAGTTTTGCTTTAGGACACTGTTGTGGCATTTGACCTGGGGTCAGCTATTGCATTTTTCTTTTCCGGTTATCATAAAGAATCCACTTTTCATCACATGTTACAATTCGATCCAATATTCCTTCATTTCTGTACCGGTTCAACAAGGCAACACAAGTTTCAACACGCGTTTCTTTCTGCAGATCAGTCAAATCATGAGGCACCCATTTTTCGTATTTTTTTATTTTATTGATTTGACGCAAGTGAGTCAATATTGTGGGTAAGGTAACGTTAAACCATGCCGCTAATTCCTGGGTAGTTTGACTAGGATCGGCTTCCACTATCTCTCTTAATTCATCGTTATTCACCTGTGTGGGCGGTCTTCCTCGTGACTCGTTCTTTAAGTCGAAATTTCCATCACGAAAGCGTTTAAACCAAAATCGCACGGTGCGTTCATTAGTACACCCCTCTCCAAACGCAGCATTGATATTGCGGGCTGTTTCTGCCGCGTTGGTTCCGCGTCGGAACTCGTATTCAAAAATCACTCGAATTTTCGCAGTATCCATCTTTCTTGTCTAAATTGAATAACAAAAACAATTGAAAGTCGATATTCAAATGTTTCAAATTTAAAAAAAAAAAACACAGAAACCATTTGAAAAAAGTTTCATTCGAAAACCTCAAACCATAAAGATTCTATGAAAATTCAAAGAACCTATTGCAATAAAACGGCAATTTCATACTTTAACCCCTAATATATATAAATTATATTAGCAACAACTCATTGTATTTAAAAACTATGTTTTTTGGTAGCAGTAGAGCTTCTTGTGACAGAGTTCGTCCAGGGAAGTACTGCCACCTTACCTATTTCTGCCGCCAAACGGTAATGAGAGCATTACTGCGCTTTTCGGCTTATAAGGGTAAGGGTGCTGTTGAAATTACAGGCATGTGGGACTTGTTAACTTATGCCTCTGCGTGACGGGCGCAGTGGCAGTGCCCCTAAGATCTTTGCGATTTAAAGCTCTGAGTGGCACTGCAACTGTTATGGACAGGCGTGTAGCTTACCACCAGGCGCACGACCTGTTCGTCAGTCGTGTATTATAAAAAAAATTGTATCACCGGCTATTTAATGTCGAATCTAATGGTGACTGATGGTGAATGTACACACATACATAAGATGCAAAAATCTTGTCTTCACGTTAATATTTTAATGATGGATATTGAAAGTTATTGTTGGAAGTTTATCCCGGTTGCCTTTAGCAAAATTGGAAGTGTCAGTTTGAGTTATGGATAAGATACTTCATAAAGCATCCAAGCACTACCTTAGTTGAAAAAAATCACAATAAGCTTTATATGAAAAGTACATCTTAAGTATACAAAAGATTCAATGCATATAAATAGCAAATACGCCTGGTGCAAAATGCTACACATTAGTTGAGTAAAATTTAATTAAAAGAAAGATAGCGAAAACTTACCCAATAATCATAAAATAAACTAAGAGACGTTCATGGACTTTGCTAGTATAATTTTACGTTTTAGTTGGCTAGTTATCAATATATTTTTGTATTTTTTTAGAAGTCTCGAATAAAGATATTGTAAAACAATATATTTTAGAATAAATGCAAGAACACTACGCAATTGATTCAGTTCTATCATAGACTAAGTAACGTTCTTGTACGTACGTTTCTTTTTAAGCATGTTTGAATGTTTACCTACCAAAAGAATTGGTTATTTTAGAGTACACACAGAATACATTATAGCTATAAAATACGTAATCAAATAATCAATTAAACAGTAATGTCCTGAAGTGAAAAATAAAACTCAATGTGACAAGAATGTTTAGACAATATTTTAATGAGAGATAATAAAGATAGCAAAAGTACGTTTTGACTTTAGACCTAATGTCAATGTCACATAGAGATCGAGAACCTTAGAGGATGGAAGAAACTCTAAGTCTAGAACATTGTGGATCATTTGTGGCAGATTTCTGACATTTATACAAATACATTAACGTTTTATTAAATGTGGTACAGTTTGGCAGATTTGCGGATATTCAACAAGGGCTTTGTTATTTTTGGGAACAAACTGAAAACTTGCTGTTTTCTATACACGAACAGATATCTGAAGCGAAATACAGGGCCATGTTATAATAACCCCAGCTTCTACAGGGTCTACTCAATTAACTTTTTTGATGCTAAGATAATGAATCACAAGTGTATTGTTAGGTCTCTTTAATGCACGTCGTCAAAAACACTGGATTACAAAATACGCGAGACGCCATCCTTCTTTACAACAACAACAACTTCTTGTATTTCTGGTTATATACTCAATGGTGTAGAATAAGTACTTCGAGTAGCCTACTGTACTATACTAATTTTCATAGTTTTATAGGTTCTCCCATTGACTTACAATTATATGGACGTCGGGTCCGCGCTAAAAAGTGTCCGAACTTATAGGGCGTTAAAATCGTATACAGATCGTCATTCACGCTTTAGTCTTCGTTTGTTCGACTGACAGCAAAGCAAGCAAAATTATACAGTACTGCAATGACATCACAATTTAAATTCAACATTTTAGCTTTTTCATATTCCTTTACATGTCACTACGTTTAAATAGGTTGAGTTGGGTCATTTTTTTCGTGGTTTTTGTATTAGACCCGTCGTCCATTTATTTGTAAGTCAATGGGTTCTTCATACAAACTTTCATCCCCTATATCACCCTCTTTAACAATATCAGTCCAACAGTTCCCATATCTTTTCTACATAAGTTTTGTTTATAGTGTGTTCATCCAACCAAAAGATTGATAGTGAGGGTTCCCTATTGGTTACATCCCTATTGGTTGGCAACCTCTTGGTTATACGGGAAGGGCACTTTAGCTTGTGCAAACAAGCCCTCACAGGGACCTACTCAGTCAGGGTCTGACCCTTCGACTTCATCCGGTTCTCAAAAGGCTAATTAGTTTCTTACCACGGTATGACTTCTTTTTATTTTCCCGATATTTCGGAACGGTTGCACGCTCCATGGTCACGGGTTGCCTGGACGGCGGCAGATGACAGCTTTATGAGCAGACATATCTGTCTACCCTCTTGCGCTGTCGACGACTACCTTCATCACGATTTGTTGTGGCGTTACCATTGTCACTCACTTTTTTTCACACAAACCACACTCACTGTTTCCACACGCGAATCTGAACTCGAGGTGTTTTTGTTTTTATTACTGCACGCACTAAGGACCGGATTCCATTCACTGGACAGTTTAAAACCATCATCACGGTTAAATGTTTTGTACTTCGTGATCTCGACGATAAGAAACCTGATACTAGTGATAATAATTTAGTGAATAACCACGAAAGTCTTAAAATCTATATAGGCTAATTAGTGCCTTGGGTGAGCTGCCCCTGTGCATCCGGGGCAGCACAGCACCCTCCTTATTTTCCAGATGGGTTAGCATCAGCCCAACAATCAATATCGTGAGTTTTCTTTGCACATGTGCCAGATTTTTTTATAATGCCAAGTGACGGGACGAACAAGTCATGCGCCTGGTGGTAGGCGACACGCCTGTCCACAACAGTTGCAGCGCCAATTAGTGCTTTAAATCACAAAGATCTGCACTTCCACTGCGCCTGTCACCCTGAGACATGTTGACAATTGGATGTGTTTGTAATTTCCCCAGCACCCTTACCCTTCAAAGCCCAAACACAGTACTGCTCAGATTACTGATTGCCGGCAGAAACAGGTAGGGTACTTCCCCGGACAAACTCTTCCACAAGGAGCTCTGCTGCTACCAACGTAGCGTAAGCAATTGATGCTACTGCTGCCGCCAAGCACTGTTCCTCTGTTGATTTCAAATTCGTTCCCAAAATGAAGTTTCCCGCCGGACCTTTTATTATGAATTATGTAATTTCAATCTACAAAAGCGATTAGATTCTTTTATAGTATAACAGAAATAATTTTTTTGAAATTGGTGGTTTTCTTGCAGCTGAGTTTGCTTGTCTCAAGGGTATGTATCCGAGTATGAATCCTGTCTAGACAAACAAATTAAAAATACTTTTATAACTTATTTGTGAAAACTGTGATGGCCAAAGTTGCTAATCTACAATTTATGTTCCAATTTAATCTGTCTGTTTGCACGCTTTTAAAAGGTTTCAGTGTTCTTATTTCAGAGCTAGGCTTTTACAAGTTGAGTAATCGCCAAGCATTTTTTCTGTTCACTTGCCCCGACATTGAGTTCTTGATATGCCCGGACATAAACTTTTCCTTTATCTTATCTAAATAGCTTCGTCAAGTTTTTCCCTAGTTCCTCTTTCCGTCGATCTTCCTTTCTATATAAACTGCCGTGACGTATTAGATGGCCAAACATCTTTCTCCTTCGGTTCTCGCTTTCAATGTACAATTAGAGTAATAAAATCGAAAGAAATTGCAGAGCTTCGATAAGTTAATCAACTTGAAGGAATATTTGATTATGTAATCTGGACATTGCTATGACAAAATGTTAGCTGAATATAAAAATAAAATTTTTACGTTTGTTCGAATATTATTCATCTGATTGCGATAAAAGTTTCGTATCCACGAAACTTATATCCATAAATAAGGGCACCAAGTACAATGTTTATTGTTATTGTGGTGCCAGCCGCAATTACAAAAGGGTCACTAACCCTGAATTTGCTGGAAAACGCAGTGCGTTACCAGTACTGATTTATAAATACCAAATAAAAATAAATGCTTAATTGATGAGTTCTAAAATAATTTCGTGTTGTTTGTGTTACCTTAGAGTGGTTATACAAGGCGACTTTTAGCATCGATGCAATCGCCTATAAATCCCGTAGCGATGAAATCGCGCGTTTATATCGATGCAGACGCGCGCTTGCATTGCGTTTGCATCACTGCTTAAAATCGCGCGCATGTATAAAGGTAGACGATTAGTGACTGCATCGATACTGCATCGCGTTTGCATCGCTGCTGAAGGACGAGTGTAACCGCACTTATGAATACGTAATAATATACCTAGTATTTATTGAGAAAAGACAAACTAGTAGCAGTAGAGCTCCTTGTGAAAGAATTCATCCAGGGTAGTACTGCCATCTTACCTATTTCTGCCGCCAAGCAGTAATGTCAGCATTACTGTATTCCGGTTTTGAAGGGTACGGATGCTGGTGGAATTACGGGCTCATGAGACTTTAAAGCGACTTTAAAGCTCTGAGTGGCACTGCAACTACTACAGACAGGCGTGCCATTTATAACCAGGCGTACGTTTCGTTCGTCCTGTCGCTTAGTATCATAAAAAAAAAACTTACTGACTCATCGTATTTAATCATAACTTTGTCTGCAGTCTACGTATTCCTGGGCGAGCACATCGCGCTGGTGGACTTCGTGAAGGTGCTGCAACGGCGAGGGTTGCTGGCAGATGGGGCTTATGCCGTGGTGGCGGTTGATGATGAGATTTACGACCCCAGCACGCCGGCTATCACTTATACTGGTAAGGTTTGCGATATTAAACGGTTTACGGGTTCACTCTTGACAATAAGTTCAGATCGATTTTTTCATTCGGTGGTAATATGGAAGATCATCATGATGGTAGCGGTATTTAACTGGGTGACGAAATACTTTCATAGATTTTTCATAGATGGCGCTACGGCTAAAAAATCGTTGAAAAACTAAATACAAAGATACGACAACAAGCATATAGAAAAAATGAGGTCTCTGATTCGTTCCGTCGCTTAGTTGGCATAGCGTCTGCTAGAAGATTTGTTAGATGTTTTTGTTTCACGTTTTGCTAGAATCGAAGGATTCTTTTCTAAGTGTTCGATCTTTGTATTAATAATTATAACAAACTCGTGGAGTAATTTCACAAAAAAAATTGAATACCAATTTAATAAAAATTTAGATCATCATGAATTAGTACCTACGAATCTTAACGTACTATAGTACCAATGTCGCTAGATGAATATTCCCTCTGCGCGAATATCTTCTACCTCTATCCTCTACCCTACCTCTGGCGCGTCCTACGGACCTACGTAGGTCTGTAACCGCATTTATGTACTGCATCCGATTCGTATCCGTTCCGAGTACATAAGAATATACAAATTTACGGAGATTCTAAGAAGATATAGTAGTACTATTTCTCCTATCCGTAAATTTTTGGCATTGGCATTGTTAGTACTATGAAGACGCAGAAGTTTGGGTACCCAAAACTTTTTATTTCTCCTTTTATTTACATTCTCCTTTTGAACTGACTTTACAGAGAAACATTTTATAATAATTACAATGAACTTAAACAAGACGGCAAGAAATTTATTCTTAGTTATTACTAAATGGGTGTATGCACTTTTAATTTAATTTTATTATATCATGTATGTATCGATATTTGCCGTTAACATTCATCCCTCCGCGCAGCCGTTACCGTGGCGTTCGGGCTCGGATCGCATGCGTTATTACAAATAATACCGTTGTTACTTCGATCCGCGAAAATAGTGATCCGAATTGAATGGTGCCTCGAAGGCGGTGATTAGAACACTATTTTTGCTAATTTTGGATGTTGGTAAGCTTGTAAAATTAATTGTATCAAAAAGTAAAAGTAATTAATGAAAATTTTTTCTTGTCTCTCGTAGGGCTGACGTATATGATAGTAGTTTATGTGACTATTACGTAATGAAATGCATTAAAATACGAGTGAGGGTTTATGAAACGGGTTCATAAAAAATCTCACGAGTGTTTTAATGCCTAATTATGTATAGTTACATACACTGCTTTATCTACACACATATTATAAGCTCTCCGTGATGTGTTCAAGAACCACATGTTACGACTTGCGAAATGGCGGCAAATAAAAACTTTTCTCACGCATGTCACACAACCGTAGTTTTTATTTTTAAATCATAGACAAACTAGACTCGGCCCCAACTATCATATCGTTCGATATCAAGTAACGTGTGAAATTGTCAAAATTGTTTGCTATTGACATTTCATTCCGAATAAAACTTCATTACGACTGATATTAGAATTGAGGTCCAATCAAATTGTTTTGTTTTTCAGAGATGTTCGAAATTTGAATGTAATAATAACATCCAATTCGATGTTAATGAGAAGCAATAATAACATTTTCACAGTTATGAAATTTGTTTTAACAAAACAGTTTACCTTTATGCTGGTCGTAATTTGCGGTTTTTGAACATATTATAGAGAGTTTATGATATGTGTGTAGATAAAAAATGTATTTATATATTTTTAAAAATAAAGAAGCTACCATATTACCTCTATTGTGGCATATCCGAGCATCTTCTTTAAAATCTTCTTCATGACTTCGGTTACAGAAAGTTGTTCAAATCACAGTACTATGGCAAGATTTTAGAACGGTTACACACGGTGACTTATAACAGCGATGCAAACGCGATGCAGTTGCTAATCGTCTATCTTTACACATACGCGCAATTTTAAGCAGAGATGTAAACGCGAAGCGCACGACTGCATCGATACAAGTCGCCGTGCGTAACCACTCTTAATTACGCAATATGTATACGGCGTGGCTGTATACGGTTAAATAATGAGTCTGAACAAAAATTTGTTTTACTTGAATGAATTCACCATCTTTGTTAATTCTTTTACTATGCCTATTTCAATACATTTCTGTTTTTTTTTACGCACACACTCCTACGAGAATCCTTATTTATCCTTCTCTAGTGCGGGGCTAGAGAAACCCTGTGTCGCGGTTGCCATGGACACACATATAGACAACTACAAATTACACCCAAACTCACCAGATAAATAAATGTAGGCAATACAAATATTTCTCCAGGCCTGAGAATTGAACCCGCCTCCTTTGCGTGGCAGACGTTACGGCATAGCGGCGTTCAACCACGGAGGCAGGCAGTAAATTAAAATGAAATATATTCCCGTTCCTTTAGATTTGAATTAAGAACGTTTATTTTTACGCAACTTTTGTAGTTCTTTCTTCGAGTTCTTAAAAGTTCTTTGTTCTTTTGATACCTGCTAAAGTACAAGTAAAAGCATAAAAAATGTTGACAAAGGCTGATTTAAGCGATGTTTTATTGTAACTTTTCGACTATAATGTAACTAACTAAACTGTCGACTGTATTGTAACTTTTAGTCACAACGACATTGCCGAACATTTTACGATCGGTGCATAATGTCTAGTCGATTTATGACTGAACCAGCCCTAGAAACAAATGATTAGTCGCACAGAAGACGACGTATCTCGTTTCCGTAAACAACAACCCAGTGATTTATGTGTAGGTAATTCATTCACAAATTAATTTCTATCTCTCATCTCTTTCTCTCTTCCCAAAATTCTATCTTTATAATCAAAATGCGCAGATATAACAAAAGGATGTGCGTGTAAATGAAACCTTTAACATTTGAAATATATATCTAATTACTGCATCCAATAAATTCAAGGTCGCTGGTTGAAATTTACATATTAAACAAGGGTGCTACCCCTACGCTTTGAAGTATAAATTAAAATTATAATAAGATTCGTTTGCGGCGTAAAAGAGTTAAGTATACATAGGTAATTGGTTACAGACTGCCCCTTATCTTCCTCATGTTGTGATAGTGTGTATTCATGACGTAAATACTCAGGAGCTCAATGTCAACAACATGTTGTTGTCGCAACGGTTTAGACGAGTTAGTTCGGTAGGACTAGAGCTCCTTGTCAAAGAGTTCGTCCAGGGAAGTGCTGCCGCCTTGCCTAATTCTGCCGCTTAGCAGTAATGTGAGCATACTGCGTTCCGGTTTTTTTTAAATAATATTAAGTGACGGGGCGAACAAGTCTTTCATGTTATTTTAATTTTTATTGAAAACCAACAGCGTTTACAATATCATAAATGTGCAAAGTAAACCTTAAAATAGTACAGCCAATAACAGGTTTTCTTGAATAAACTTTAGAATATAACAACACCACAAAAGCATCAGCCAGTATTTAATGTTTCTTAATCTTCACCAAAACCGTGGTGTGTGCGTGCGTGCGTGCGTGCGTGCGTGCATGCGTGCGTGCGTGCGTGCGTGCGTGCGTGCATGCGTGCGTGCGTGAGTGTGTGTGTATGTGTGTGTGTGATTGTGTATGTGTGTGTTTTAGAGAGAAAGATAATGTGTCTCTGTGTATATACAAATTGTACAAATTATTGTAAACTGGCTGTGTTATTAAGTCGTGCATCTTAGTCGGTTTTGAAGAGTTAAAGTGGAGGTGAAATTACAGGCACAAGGGACTTGTCAACCTGGATAGATAGATAGAAAAACACTTTATATACTGATATAACACAAATACAGATTAAGCATAAAAGAAAAAACAAAACATGATTGTCATAGCAGTGAAACGGCTCTGACTCAGCATATGCCAAAGTTTCCTAAGGCGCTGGTTTTCAGTCAGAACCAACGAGAGGGATTAAGTTATTAGAAAGCAAAAATATAACGACTATGCGTAAAGTTATGCATTGACAATAATAATTTATCTAGTAAAGTGCAAATAGTGCATCTAAAATAACCTGTTTGACATGTAAGTGCATAAATGAATGTGAATATAATTACAGCTGTAGGAGTAAGTTGTGACTGTAAAGAGGTTTTAATGTCGTGTAATGTACTTAGTATTATGATATAATTATACACATAATAAGAAAAGATCAAAGCAACAACAAAATTCGATTCTAGGCAGACTACGTTAAGGAATAAAAACACACTACACATATTTTTGAAGTGAGAGTAGGTGTTGCCGGTACAGAGCTTTGAATTTGGGTTTGAATGTCGTACGTCTTACGTCTCAATGTGACGGGAGTAGTGGCAGTGCCCCTCTGATCTTTGCGTTTTAAAGCTCTGAGTGGCACTGCAACTAGAACATATTTGTCGCTTACCATCCCGTCACTTGGCGTCATAAAAAAGAAAGGCATATCACAGTCTTCAAACAAAATTTTACTTTCCATAAATGGAATAATCCACATTACGCAGTTAGTATACATAATATATAATTCAGTGTAGTAAATAGTACATACATTATAATATACATAAATCATGAAGTAATCATATTTCATAACAAACAAGAATATGGAACTATATTATTCGGTTAATGTATAATGTTTCTCACTATACAGCTACACTAGTCAAAGTGCGTAGCACCGTGTCACCTGTCATAAACATGTTTGAAATTGATGAATTTGTAAAAAAATGCTTGTAAATAAAATAGAATGATAACGGCTTTCAAAAACTGACCTCAAAAGTTTGTGGAATTACTTCTATTAGCCAAGTTTCATTGAACTCAGTTAACGGAAAGTGGGTGAAATTCAATAAACCGGATTCATCCCTTAATTTGCCACCCTTAGAGGTGGAATATTTTCTTCAAATTTGAATGAGATCACTACTGATATACCCCCTTTCCAACAAAAAAAGAATCATCGAAATCACTTCACAAATGTCGCAGTAATTGCGTAACACACACACAAAAGTAGCAGTATAAGTTTAAGCATTACCTAT